GGAATTTAATGGGGGGTCACCAGACATCTGGACCACCCTGAAAAGCAATTGATGTTTCTGCCTTTGCCCTCTACTTACAAAAACAAAGTTAAACAAGTCATCAAAAGTAATCTGATTAATACGCCTAACCTAGTAAGACCACATTACCATTACTAATCTTATGTAATCTGATTAAAAGTCGTATTATAATTATTTGTAACGTGTTATTCGCCAGCATTCATACTCAGGCGAGCTTGTTTGCCCGTCCGAGGACGGAAGCTGTAATATTTACGAATTTTTTCTTCTTCTTTAGTGCTGCCTAACGGCGTGTGCGACTTCACGATGATATTGGTCCCGGTCTAGCACGGCGTGTAGAGTTTGTGCTGTTGTTAATTGTAGCCATGTTTTGATGTTACTGAGCCATGTCGTTTTTGGCCGTCCTGGTCGTTTTTTCCCTTCGATTTTTCCTTCCAGGATTTGCTTTAATAGCTGGTATTTGTGGTCGTTTCGGGCAATGTGGCCTAGGTAGTAACACTTCCTGCTAATGATGGTCTTCAGCAGTTGCCTGTCAGTGCCCATATCTTGCAGAACTTGTGTATTGGTGGTTTTGGCTGTCCATGGGATTTTCAGCATTCTTCGATACAGCCACATCTCGAAAGCTTCGAGCCTTTTTGTTGCTGTTGTTGTCAATGTCCACGTCTCTACTCCGTACAGCAAAATTGACCAGATGTAGCATTTCAGTGTGCGCAGTTTCAGTGATGTACTCAAGTTGCGGTCTGCAAGGAGTGTTTTCCATTTAATAAATGCTTGCCTTGCTTGTTCAATTCTGCTCTTGATTTCGACTTCATGGTTCAACTGATCGTCAATGATTACACCAAGGTATTTAAATCGGTGTACTTGTTCCAATTTTTCGCTGCCAAGCTTGATTGTTATTTTGCTTGTAGTTCGGCTGACCTTCATAACCTTTGTTTTCTTTTTATTAATTCGTAAGCCCCATATTTGACTCTCTGTGGCAACCTCGTCCAAGATTTGTTGTAGGTCTTGTTCCGAATCGGCCAGCAGTGCAGTGTCGTCGGCATACCTGATGTTGTTGATGTATTGTCCATTGACTTTAATACCAATGTTTTTATCTGCTAGTGTTCGATCAAAAATCTGCTCCGAGTAGATGTTGAAAAGACTGGGTGAAAGTGGGCAGCCTTGTCGTACACCTTTTTGTATTGGTGTTGGGTCTGTCAATTCGTTGTCATATCGGAGTTGGGCTGTTTGCTTCCAATAAAGAGCAATGATGAAGTTGATGTCGTTTTTATCTAGTCCCAGTTGTTTTAATAGAGCTGCTAGTCGGTCGTGGTCGACTGAGTCAAAGGCTTTCTCGTAATCTATGAAGCAGATGTACACTTCTTTCTGATGTTCGTAGCATCGCTGTAGTAGTATCTGTAGACAGAAGATTGCTTCTCTTGTGCCTAGTCCTTTGCAGAAGCCAAACTGTGTGTTCTTCAATGCATTTTCGCATGTGGAGCGTATGCGCTGTTGGATCACCTTCAGGAAGACTTTCAGCACGTGGCTCATCAAGCTTATCAGTCTGTAGTCCTCGCATTTCCGGCTTGTTGCTTTCTTTGGTATGGCCACAAAAATGGATTGTAGCCAGTCGGATGGAATTTTATTGCCAATGTATATTTGATTGTACCAATTAGTCAGTTGTCGTATGTTGTTACTGTCTAATAGTTTGAGCAATTCTACATGGATTGTGTCGGGCCCGCACGCTTTGCCTGACTTAGCTGTTTTGATTGCATGTTCTACTTCTGATGTTAAAATGTGTAGAGCGTCTTTCGACATCTGTTGGTCTTTTTCTGCAGGTGTTCTCGTGGCGCCATAGAGCTTGTGTATATAGTTTGTCCAGGTGTCCATTTTTTCTTGTTTATTTAGGATTGGTTGGTTGTTGTCCGCATACAAGGTAGCTGTTGGGGCTGGTCTGTAGATGTTACCAGCTTCTTTGAGCTTCTTGTGCAGAGTAAAATTGTCATGTTTTTTAATTAGTTCTTCCATCTCGGCGCATTGTTCTTCCATCCACATTTCTTTTGCCTGTCGGATTGCTTCTCTGATCTTCTGTTGCATTTGTTTGTACTTCTCCAAGTTGTTGTTTTTGTATATTCTTCGTTGGCTCATTAGATCGAGAATACAATATGTCATCCATCGTTGTTTCTTTTTCGGTGGCTGATGTCCCAGCATGACTTCTGTTGTTTCTGTGATGCATTGTTTGAACGAGCGCCAGTACTCCTGAACATCTGCTGTTTCTGTTGTTATTGAGCGGATGCTATCGTTGAGATGTTGCTGTACTTGTCTTTTATCGGCGCTGTTCTTCAGTTTCTCCAGGTCTGCTCGTCTCGTCTTTGTACATTGTATTGATCGCAATTTGAGTCATATTGTAGCTGTTACTGGGTTATGATCTGACGATATATCGGCTCCAGGGTAGGTTTTTGCTGTAATCACACTGGACTTAAACCTGATGTTAATTAGGATATAATCGATTTGGTTCCTGACGATGTTGTTGTCGGAGTCTTGCGGCGAGGTCCACGTGTACAGTCGTCGAGGTGGTAATTGGAAGCACGTGTTAGCAATACTGAAACGTTCTTCTTGGCAGAATTGAACCAGTCTGTCGCCTCGTTCATTCCTTGTTCCTAGTCCGTGTTCTCCGACAATGTTCTGCATTCGACCGTGGCCAACCTTGGCATTGAAATCGCCGAGGATTATAGTGATGTCTTGCTTCTTCAGCGGCTTCAGCGTGTTGGTTAGTTGCTCATAGAACGATTCGATTTCATGATCTTGTTTATCTGCTGTTGGAGCATAAACCTGTAGAATGTTCACGTTGACTTTGTTGCCTGCTAATTGTAGTAGTGCTATTCGTTCTGATACTGAGGTAAAGTTGTTGACTTTATTCGCTAATTTCTTGTGTACTATAAAGGCGACACCGTATGTTTGTTTGGTGTTTTCTTCTCCTCCGGAGCAGAAGATGTGGTGTTTGCTCGATATAAACTTTTTTGTTCCAGGCCATTTAGTTTCGCTTAGACCGATTATGTTGATTTTAAGTCGATCCATTTCTTGTATGACATTGGCTAGTTTTCCTGCTTGAAGTAAACTTCTAACGTTCCAAGTTGCTACTTTGAAAGGGTTCTTTGACACAAGCTCGGAGATTCTTAGCACCCCTGTCCTATTTAAAGGACGCCGATACTCAGGGCCTTTGTTGATTTTGCTTGTCATCATTGAAGTTTTCAAGGGAGAAATAATCCAAGTAGTTTCCCGTTGCTTTCTTGGATCACCATTTATTTGAAAAGGTCATGTGGGGACCTTTCGAAACGGGTTTTGTCTGACGTCTCCACTGAAGTCTTCCCGCCTTGGGTGACCCTTCTGAGAGCACTAGGCTCTCGACGGTATAGCGATCAGCTTCTCAGACGTACACAAACTCTCTCGCCGCGCTAAGGCACCGTTTCTCGAGAGAGACGAATTTTTTAGAAGAGTATAATTGTATCTTGTGTAAATTTAATAGCAGTGAATCTAGCACAAAATTATGTCATTAAACACTTCACTGCATTTCGCTGTACCACTGTATATAATTGACCTTCAATTTGTTCAAATTTACTGCTCTGATACTTTATTCTCTTCTGCTTTTGATCGCTGGGTTTGAAATAAATTGGAAATCGATATAATATCTGGAAAATCACCGAGAAATGTCCATTTTACCATAATGTAGAAGCATACATTAGACTTACCTTTTGTCTCAAGTGATGAAGAAATAAATAAAGACACCACATGCACTTTGTTGCTGCGTATAATTATTTATTAGATTCACTTTCAATAGAGAAACGTCAAACTTAAAGCGAATTTGCAAAAAAAAAATTCAGTTCGACCTTCTGCATGAGTGTAAAAATCCACCCGCTCATGAATATTAATGATGGGGGGGGTGCGGCATGGGGAGTGACGTCACGTGCGTTACACACAAACACATTCTTGGCTCATTATAGTAGTAATATTAATTCGGTACAGTATATAGAATGACACAATATGGACTATCTCTATTATGGACTATCTAAATAGTTTCCCACGTACATGGCTTCAATTGTATGGTTTATGAGTAGCATTGAACAGATTATTGCAAAATTCTGAATCAAAATCAAAAGTGTATTTCCCCGAGTAAAGCCCACTGAGCTAAGACGCTCTTTTTCAGAATCAAGAATATTTATTTGAATACTGGAGGAATCCGATTAGCTATAAAGCTCTTTTCAGAATAAATAATATTTATTTAAATACTCCAACACAGCGGTGTGCTGTACGCGTAACGAATTGCCATGTTCTGTTTACGTGACAAACCTTCGTGATTGGCCGTGTCGGGTGGTGGCAGGTTTAGCGACACATTTATATTTACGCGATGTAACCCAAAAAAAACTGCATTTTATGGACTTATTCCATGTATTGTAAAGGAAACGTGATGGGAGGGGGTAGAATCGTATAACTTCGACACGAGTTCGGGGTGCCGTCTTACTTTCCGTCGCGCGTCTCATAATCCGGCAAAAGATTTTTTTAAAAAGAACAACAGAAAGATATTCTGATCCGCGTTAATTAACGCGAATAAATCAACGCGCCGACAGAGAGCGCCCGCTGGAGCCTCCACGCCTTTAACCGGAAACTGACGTCACCGCGCGGGGGGGGGCGAGTGTGGAGGGGTGGGGAGGGGGCGGGGTTAGCGGGGGGCGGGGTGAGTGTGGGATGGAGGGGGGCGGGGTGAGTGTGGGGAGCGGTGGGTGGGGAGTAAAAACAACAACCCGCCAACGCGGTTACGTCATCCCAGCGTGCACCGCGCTGTTTGGGGCGTGGCGGGCCCCGCGCGCGGGGTGCCATGGCGACCGCGAGGCGGACCAATGGGGAGGCTCGCTCATTACGTCATGGGCGACCAATGGGGGATCCTCGTCATTACGTCATGGCTATTCGGGGGCCGCGCGAGCGCGCTTATAAAAGGGGGCGGCGGGGCCCCCCCGCGCCACTCACTCGGCGGGAGACGCCCGTGGTGCTTCTGCGTACGGGACTCGAAAGCTTTTTGAGACACGCGTTAACTGGTTAACTTGTTTGGTGTAGTTGACGTTTGGTGTGAAGGGAAGGGAGAGGAAGGAGGGGTTTGTGTGACGGAGATAAAAAAAGTTAACTTTTGTCAGTTTCGTTAAGTGTAAGTCGAAGAGACAGGCCCCCGAGTTGTTTCGTTTTTTGTTATAATTACAACTTTTGGCTGACGTCAGTGTTGGAGTGCGTGGGGGAGAGGACACGTACTCGAGTTGCGTGTTTCACCAGCGACTTCGGTTGGGTTCGACACTTAGAGCCAGTCGCAGCCTATCGAGCAACCCCCCCCCCCCTCCAAACTTGAACGTCTCGTCTTCAACACCGGGGACTTCAACTTATAGCCGAGGAGCCGAGGAGGGAACGGAGCAGAGGAGTCCTCCCCATCTGACCCACCTCGTCCACCACCTGTGTCGTCCAGAACCACGCGGGGATCAGCGGGTGGCGGTGTCACCACCCCACCTCCCCCCCAGTGCATGAACTCCAGGATGGAAGCGACCTTCTACCACGATGACGCTCTGAACGTGGTGGCCCCTCACGCCGACTCCACCCGCTCCCTGCACTCCTCCTTCTCGTCCTCATCCTCCTCCTCGTCGTCGTCGACATCACCGTCGACCTTCTCCTATGGCTACCGCTCGGCGAGCGCAATGAAAAAGAGCCTCTCCCTCAACCTCTCGGACCCGGCCAGGGCCCTCAAGCCTCATCTGCGAGCCCCGGGGAGCGGCGGGGAGACCGCGACGGCCGCTGCTGCTGCTGCGGCTGCTGCTGCGGCGGCTTCATCCAGCAGTGGAGGAGCCGGAGGCCTCCTGAAGCTCGCCTCGCCCGAGTTGGAGAGGCTCATCATCCACTCGAGCAACGGCCTGGTGACCACCACGCCGACGCCCACGCAGTTCCTGTGTCCGCGCAACGTGACGGACGAGCAGGAGGGCTTCGCCGACGGCTTCGTGAAGGCTCTGGAGGAGCTGCACAAGCAGAACCAGCTGCAGGGCATCCCCTCGAGCGGAGCTGCTGGGACGGGAGCGACCGCCGCCTCCGTCACGGTCGCCGCCGCCGCCGCTGCCGCCGCCGCCGCGGCCGCCGTGGCCGGAGCCGGCGCCCCACTGAGCCCGGCCACGGCGCTCCAAATCGGGGCCATGGCCGCAAACTTTGGCATGGAGGCGCCCGTCTACACGAACCTGACCAGCTACCACCAGCACCACCACCATCACCACCACCACCAGCATCAGCAGGGAGGCGGTGGAGGAGGAGGAGGCTCGGCCATCGGTGGTGGTGGTGGTGGCGTGCAGCCGCCGGCCACGTACCCCGGTGGTCCACCCTCGGGCTACCAACCTCGGCTGTCTCTGCAGCAGCAGCAACAGCAGCAGCACCCACGCCTGCAAGCTCTCAAAGAAGAGCCGCAGACGGTGCCTGAACTTGGCAGCAGCAGCTGCTTGACCATCGGCGGTGGCAGCAGCGGCGGCGGTGGCGGCAGCTCGGTGGGCACTGCGAGCGCGTCGCCTCCGCTGTCGCCCATCGACATGGAGTCGCAGGAGCGCATCAAGGCGGAGCGCAAGCGACTGCGCAACCGCATCGCGGCCTCCAAGTGCCGCAAGCGCAAACTGGAGCGCATCGCCCGCCTCGAGGATCGCGTCAAGGGCCTCAAGACGCAGAACGCCGAGTTGGCGGCGTCCGCCGGCGCCCTGAGAGAGCAGGTGGCGCGGCTCAAGCAGAAGGTGATGAAGCACGTGCACGGCGGCTGCCAGCTCATGCTCACGCAGCAGATGCAGCACGGATTCTGAGCTCGCGTGCGGCTTGGCTGCCGACGATCTGTGCGTGCCACCGCGCAACGGGAACGACGGGCTCTTGACGGACGGACCAGACCTCATGTTGGTGAGGACACGCGCGCACAGACGACACGCGTGTGTGCGCGCGTGTGTCGGGGTTGCTGCCACAGCAGCCGCAGCAGCTGAATCATCACGGGACCCGTGGTGGACTACTTGAAGCCATCTCAGAGCGCCGTGTGTCCGCTAAACCGCGCGCCAAGTATTGGCGTGGCCAGCTGCTGCGCCTCGCCAGTCGCGACGGACACGCCGCTGGACTGACTGTGTGTGTACTGCACGCCGGTATACTGACTGTGTGTGTGTGTACCACACGCCTGCAGAAGACGCGTCGAGCACGATGCTGTTACTGCCCACTCACTGATGCACTGTTTGTGGTGTACGTACTCAGCCCGGCTCATCTCCGGTGTTAACAACCGAGTGAGTTTGTGCGAAATCGGCAGTGCTTGAACTATGGAGAGACTTGCCCCTGCCATAGGACCGTGGACTTTCCACCAATGCCTCGGCGCTACGAGTGGAGAATGGAACGCCTTGCGATGTTTTTTTTAGGAGGGAGAAGCGTTTGCCTTTTTAACTTTTACGCACTGCTATCGGCGAGGTCGAAATGGGATGTCTTAAAGCAATGGGCCTGACCGTGGGTTATACTGAGTTGTGTAGCGCAGCGAACGTGTAACAGAACTTTATACATGCTCGTTAAGTGTACTACATTGAGGGTCATATGTACTATACAGTATATACAGTACTGTATCTGAGTTAAACCTCAGTAGGGAAGTTCAGGTTGAAATTTCAATCGGGGCTCTCTCCAAACTTTGTCATACATTTTTAAATGAACTGGCTCCCGCCATAGTAATGTGGAAGTTCCAACATCCATTTTTAAATGAACTGGCTCCCGCCATAGTAATGTGGAAGTTCCAACAGCTGGCTTGGTGAGAGCATTAGGCACTCACCGTCGCCTTTGTGCTGTGTACAGTATATGGCGTGTCTTTAAACAGCACCTTGGCTAATAAAGTTCTGCGAGTATTCGCGTCATCTGTAAAGCAACTTAATATACCATGTACTGCATTGCTGATCCCTCTGGTCCAGATTGCAGTGATAATACAGTACTGTATAGAGTATATACTCTATCTAATACCATACCAAGTGCGGTCAGTGTCTCGAATGTGTCTGTCTTTCTAAAGTGCGGTCGTGAATTGATGTGGCCGCTCTTGGACATCACTCGGCCACAGTGAACGTTTGTAAATGTTACCATTATTTTTTTTTCCCTCTAACGTGTAACAGAATGTATGAGTGTGGGGTTTTTTTTGTTTGCGTTTGTCATGGCTACTATTTTGTTTGTACTTGCGTCAGTTTTTGTGACGCCAAAAAAAGCCTGCCCGGGACTCGCGTCGTCCATGACATCTTTCGCGTGCGTCGTTTCACTTTATATTTTAAAAAAAAAGAGGGGGGGCAAACAAGAAGACAAGAAACTTCCCGGTCGTGGTCGTACTAGTAAAAACAAATACACCATTCGCCCATATTTCCCGATGCCTTTGTCAAGACGTTGTCGCTAGAAACTTCGACCAGAGTTCGAAGCCAAAGGGACGACTCTACCCCTTCCTGTTTTAAGTTAAAACTAGCGCACACCTTTCGCCCAAACAGATTTGGTGTCGACAGAATATCGCTTTTGTAGGCATAAATCATGCTGGACTGTTAACAAAAAGACCAAATATGTTTTTTGCTTGTCCAATCTTGAGTTTGTGACGTCTATCTGAAAGTGGAATTTATTCAGAAAAAAAAGTCACAGAAGTGATTTTTTTAAGTTTGAAACTTGAAATCTTTTGAGCTTGGGGAAAGTCTTTTTGTACACTGATAAAGCCTTATTTTGTAAATTAAACTAAATAGCTCTTGACTAAAACAAGTCAGTATTACCATAGCTTTTAGACTTCTTTTGAAAAAAACTAGTATTGCGTGTAGAACTGGTGTACAAAGTGTTAAAATGTCTTAAACGTATCCTGAAACCAAAGCCTATAGTATAAATATGCAAATGTAATTTGGTGAGGCTTTTTTGTAAGTTATTTTTTTTCCATTTTATTTGGCACGTGTAACACATTGATTGGGTTTGACCCAGCTCCTAGCGCTTGTGTTTAACATGGTTTTATTCATTCCGAACGTGACTGTGTGACGATTAGTTCTACACGCTTTCAAAGCGCTTCAACACTTTGTAAGGATATTTATTAAAACGCAATAAAGTAAACGAGAGACTTGCAGAACTGGATATTGTGCTTTTGTTACAAGTACCAAGTTTACTGTCTGGGCGGGGTGATGCTGTGGCCTGTTTACAGGGGTCAACTTATCTCATCATTCCTGTGGACAATAAAATGAGAGTCGCCGTGGAAAGACAGTGGTGGTTATCCTTTGTAGAAACTGATTCCTGCTATAGAAATTAGACGTTTCCATCACTGGCTGGCTCATCATTTGGAAATAACATTTGCCCAATACTACGTACGGTGCGAAATAAGTCCATTACCAATTTAAGCAAAGGAAAATCGACCTTTGACTAGTTTTCTATAATTTTAAAGCCGCCTAATAGTCACGAACACTTTGCATTGAGCCACTCTGTATGGAGTTGGCAGTTCGTTTCTACGTCCTGCTGTGCACTCTAACTTTGAGGTTAAACGTTCTTGGGTCATCCACAAAGAGTGGATTATTGTGTCCCGGTGTCAATGCACTTTGGACGTAAAATTAACTTCCGGCAGGCTAAATTCTCTCTCGAATAATCGCACGTGCTGAAGGGTTTCTTAAACCTCGATTGTGGCCCGCCAAATTCCTATATTCGCCAACGAGATTTTTTTTGCCTACTCATTCTCTTACACGGAAGAGCGCCGGGCAATCGCTAGCACGAGGGTGGAACTTTCCTATATTTAGACGGGCAAATAACCCCCCCACCCGCTACCCATGCAGATGCCATGCAAGGAGTGAGATGGAGGCCGCTATTGCCATAGCACAACCACGTAACTCCCAATTGTTGATGTGCAACATTTATTTTTTTGCGATAAAGCAAGCAGGGTATCCAGATGAGACATTTTGCAACCGTTGCACAATCTCACACGAATAACAATTTTACATACAGTACGTAGGTTTGTTTTCAGCCCTTTGTCAATCCATACTTCAGGGTGGTCCTTGCCAGATGTACATTCATGTCCTGTCTAGAAATAGTCGCATTGACATGGTATGCGCTTTTTATTTAGTAAATGAGATAGTGGACGACTGGTTGAAGTTTTCAGTCGGCTGGTGAGGAATGGAGATGACTAGCAACCAGTGAAAATCGTGTTCCACGAGTATATAATATTAAAACTAATTACATAGCCATACAGCATTGGACAAACTTTACATGTTCACACAGACCAAGGATCGGCAACCGAATTAACAAGAAGAGCCATTCGTTTTCGAATTCGGTCCAAAAGACTCAATTTCAAGAGCCGCAATTAATAAATCGACATTACGTCACGAAGCAGTTCGCAAAGAGCCGACAACTGCGATAAAACAGATCTCTGCGTGGCTTTAGACTGGAGGAGCAAGTGCTGCTGTTAGCCATCACCTACGAAGGCCGGCACGGCACACAAGGGGGTGGGTAGCCACCATCACGCCCGGCCGTCTTCGTCTCCCCAATTGTGATGTTTACATACTGCACCAGGTACTCATTTGAGGCCGAGTCGACCTAGGGCAGGCACAGGACCGGTTCGGATAATCGTCACTGGTGTTGGTCGTGAGTGGGAATCGAACCCGGCGCACGAGGTGCGCAGCGCAGCGCGCTAACCACTACACTACCGCTTCCCACACACACACACACAGGCCACACACACACAGGCCACACACGCACACTTGGCATACACGAACCCCCCTGTAGTTGTGACAAGTGCAGTGGCCCATCCTCCAATCCAGCACCTTCCCCACAGCCCTCATCCCCTCTCCCCGTCAGCCCCAACCCCCCTCCAGCACTCTTACCCCGCCACCCTCTTCAGCCACCCCTACCCCCTCCGTGCCGCTCAGCGCTCAGAAGTGTCGGTGGTCATCGTCGTCGTCGTCGTAATTTTCCATCGACTCTAAACGCCGTTCGGCTGAGACTGAAAGCGATAAGACGCTCGATCTGTGTGCGTCTGTAACGAGGGCGGCACTGTGACGCTTCCGTGAAGACGAGCCAGTGTAAAAGAGACTTTAGTGAAGACATTTTGTTGCGATTGGACAACTTGACAAAGGGATCAACAGGTTGTCCAAAAGTTGGGAGAGACGTAAAAACAAACACAAAACTCCCAGCGCTAAAAGGACCCGGGTCGGTAGCACCCCGGACCTGCCAGCCGAGGCAAAAGACAAAGATCCCCCGTGTAGCCTTTAACAGAATGTTGGGGCAAGTGCTGTTAGCGAGAACCTATGAAAGCCGGAAAGGCTTACGGGATGGATGGGTGGTTGGGCCAGCAGCACGCCCGGCCGCCTTTGTCTCTCTAGTGACGATGTTTACACACCGCACCAGGTACTCATTGCAGGCTGAGTCAACCTAGGGGAGGCCCAGGAACGGTTCAGATAATCGTCACCGGTGTTGTCCGTGAACGGGAAGCGATCTGGCCCCGCCAGGTTCATAGCGCAGCACTTTAACGCGATGCTACCGCAAGTGGAGGCACAACAACAACCGCCATTCGCCACTAAGTGGCGGTGACGTCACCACGACGCTTGTGCCAGGCCATGTGCACCTTGAGACCACGTGAAGTGTCGAACGCCCGCTGGCAGGAGGTCACGGGGAAGACCCAGGTGCCACGGGTCGACTGACTGAGATGACCGAGATGACTGGCTGATGCACCACCTGTGCCCCCTACTGTGCCAACTTGCTGTGTTTTAGCCACCCGGCGCTCTGCTCGTTGTTGTGAGCGTCGCTCCTCCACCCTCCGTTGTTGGAGGGCGACTGCCTCCAACTGCCCAGTATAGCGTCCTTACACTGAGTCCGATCTTGACACCGCTGATACAAGTCATCGACACGTCTGGTACCAGCGGTGTCAAGATCGGCCTGACACACACACAGTGACACACACAGACAGCATCCTCCCCAAGTGAGCCACAATCCGAGCCCAGATGTCTCATCGCATCTTACGTAAAAATAATTATCGTAAATAAGATTCAAGATGAACTAAACTTCGCGACACTATTATGTTGATATTCTGGACTTTGTCCAGTGAATAACCGGGCAACACTGATCAAATTGCTGAATCGGAATGTATATTAATCAATTGAATATAATCAGTATGGTACATCATATGACACACCAAATAGGCTTAACGTTAGGTAAGTCGGTCATTCCACACACACACACACATGCCCGGTATAACACGGTATGGCATACTTGCTGCCAGGGGTGGTCGGGCCCATTTTCCTTAGGGACAAATATGACTTTCAAAATCTTTATGGGGCCACCAACGAGTTGACGCTCAGCTTTGGTCTCACAATATGCACGCCGTATGCATTGACTGTGTTGCTCAGCTCCGAGTGCACCAACATGAGACACACAATGCTGCCAGGTCAGTTCATCACGTAGTAGTAGGAGGCGTTCGCGGTCAATGTCATCCATAATACAGGTTTGTTGTGGGTTAGACCGCGTAAATATAAATGCGTGGTTAAACCTAATCTAAATGTGCCAATTGGTTACAACTTCAGCACGTCGGTGTGTTGGAGAGTAAACACAACATTTACAATTCGAGTATCGTGACGTTTCGCTGGTGATTACAACCAGCCTCATTATGCGAGTATCCAGAATTGTCAACACACATTCCCATCTGTGCAATTCGTTTGGTGATGCGGCTGCAATGGCGCACAAAGCAACAGCAAACTCAACACCTTTGTCACTAAATCTGTGGCCTTCAAATTAAATATAGAATTGGCGACGTTTTGGGCAATGGCCCTCTTCTTCATAGCAAATTAGAAAAGAACAAGGGTTCATTGCCTGAAACGTCGCCTATTTTTTAAAAAATTTCCACCTCTTGCAGCACGTCTGTTCCAGTATTGGAAGAGTAGACCAAAATACGCTCTAGATGGGGCTCTCTGGAGCGCTCTCTCTCTCTAGAGGAGGACCTTTCACCAGCTGGGATATAAGCAATACATTGCAGGGGTGCACCTTTAAGATTACATTTTAGCATTCAAATGAATTATGAGCAATTGTAAACACGTGACAGAGACATGTGTCCATTACAGGAGTACAGAGTGCATGAGAGTTGTCGCATATCGCTCTCATGTTTACCAAAGGCTCTATCGTTTGTGCCAAAACCTAGAGTCCATAATTGGAAGCAGCTGAACGGGAGGGAAACGTGATACAGCACAGAACCAACACGCCGATAATCGTGCGGAGAAAATTACTCTATTAAGTTATTAACTCGTTCATTACTTAATCAGATATACCGTTTCATACGAGGGGTGTGGGGTGTGTGGGTGGGAAGTCCAGCATCTGACGGAGAGAAATGAGCGGCTCCGTGATGAAACTTGCATTCGTCCACTCATTCCCTTGCAGCTCAGTGCAGTACAATCTGTGCAATGCTCTTGCCAGGTTCTATCGCTGAAAGGCTGGCTAGGAGTTGGGATTATAGGCGTAACAAGGCACTACCACTAGAGTATAAGATACGCCAATACATAGCAAAAGCCTTGCTTAGTATACCCTCTATTCCTCTGAACCTACGTGAACAGGTTTCTATGAGCTTATAAAAGATGATCAGATAATAGGAGAGATGGGGGTGTCACGTGTCGACGTCGTTCTCGCAGCAGCGTACCGGACTGTTCCGGCTGAAATTAATCCCGCACTTTAACCCCCTCACAGAAGATATATTTGTCTTTGTTACTCCAGCCACACACCCACGCGCCATGCTAACGATGTGTTCATTTGTGTGTTATGAAGAAAGGCCATCGCCCAAAACGTCGTCTATTTTATATAATTTTTCCCTTTTACCGCCACGTTGTTGTTGACAATGAGTGTTTGTGTCAGTCACAGGAAATCTCACCATACTCTACAGCCGGTACTGCCACGCACGTTGCTAGTGCTATGCTGTTATTATTATTGAGCGTGCCTGCTGGTCCAGGCAGAGCCCAGAGGGAGTACCCTCCCCCCCACCATCACCGGCTACAGCTGTTTACATTTACGTCAACTCTGAGCATTTTCACATTTGTGGAGCGCTCACTTCCAATTTATGAAACGCGCAGTCTGCTTTCTTTTTTACAAAAAAAATATTTGTTAAAAGGTAAAGGCTCAGCTCCACAATTGCTTGTCCACCCCACCAGAGAGAGATGGAGAGAGCGCCTCAAGCGCGTATTTGGGCGACTCTTCGACTTGAAATATTTAGAGGCCCCCCCCCTCCTCCCACTCCCAATTGTGCCCTC